CATTTAATTTTAAGAAAAAGAGAATTGAATCTTACCAGAAAGACATATTCTATTCATTATCAATTAATTTTTGCAATAATAGAATTCTTTTATTTTAAATTAGATTATTTCATAAAAAAATATTTATTCATATCAGACTTCAATATTCTTTTTTTTATAAAAAAACTGAATATTTCCCAAATCTTAATATTAAAATATTTCGATCATATTATGCTTAAGATTCGAAATATAAAATAAATATTATTCTCAATAACTAAGATAGATATCGATATTAATTTCTATAGATCTAAATTTATAATTATCTATATCATCATATATTATCTATATCTCATTTTTTATGCCGTATCAAAATAATTTCCTTATTTATGCCGACACCAATACGAAACCTGATCCAATATTTTCGACATTCTCCATATCGATTATACCTTCACGTACCACTCTGCAATATTCCTCGACACGCCGTCACCCAGACTCCGCGACACTCCCGACGAGCCACACATCACCTTGCCATCCCGCGACACTCCTCTCAAATCCATATCGTACTCCGGACACTCGCGCATCCACCCACCCACCACTCCCCTTGACCGCCGCTCCACAACACTCCTCACATCACAAACGCCCTCGCTCGCTTCTCTGCGACACGCCCCTCGACCTGTCCTCACCCGCCACTCCCTAACTACAACCTACACCCTTCGGGGACTCCCCCAAAGTCCAGGAATATTCGACAAAAAACTTCAAAAAATCAGGAAATATTAAAGAATCCCCTGTAGAGCCTTCACGAACGACCAAAAGGCCCGGTAAAGGAGAGAGGTCATCCGAGCAGCTTGCCACAAAGCCAAACCGCACCCTAACGTGCATGCAATTATAGAGATATACATACAAATAGTTTTCGAAAATATTCATAGAAATAAGAATGACTTACATTCTTTATTTGTCGCTTCGTATATAAACCATAGGTTTAAGTAACTATTATGAATTTGATCTTTTTGTCGTATATATAAAACATGTTTATCCAAAGGGGTTACAAGGATATTTTTCACATAAGCTTAGTTAAACGCTTTGAAAATAAGATTTAGCTATGTAAGTTCGAAAACATTGGGCAAAATTAGAAGAAATATTCTAAAATATATTTTTCACAATTGGAAGCAATCTTGAATTTTCGAGTATAAACAAAAATAAAAGGAACCATACTTTTGAAATGACTATGATAGATACTTTATGACATATATTTTTAAATCTTTGAAATGATTTGGAAAAACTTATCCCATGTAAAATATGATGTTGTTGACTTATTGTTGAGATCTCTTCCCATATCATTCATATAATCTCCTATATTGAAGCCCGGACCGGAGATCTAGAAGATCTGAGAGCCAATCAAATTAATGCAAGGGTTGACATAAACGGTCAAAAGCGGAACCCAAACCCAGAACCCCCTGGAACCACGACTACAAACCCCTAACATGTCTGTTCAGCGATGTTTAGCTCCGAACCTTCTTGCCAAGCACCTCCGGGGCGGTGCCTGGGAAGATGTTGTCCGAACCCCCTCCATGTGGACGAGTATCATCCCTTTCCAGTCCGCGTGACCCCCAACCCATCTGTCGAGATGTGCGCGGTTTCTGGATCGGCGTGTCATTCCTCGCGACCTTTCTTCCTCAACCTCAAGTCCTTCCCTGTGAAAGAAGATTGTTCCCAGCTCACAGCCCGACAATTTGCAGTGCCGCTCTGGATAAAAAGTGTCCAGACACAGCGCCCTCCGGCCCTCGCGGCGGCTTGTCCGTGTGGTTTCCTGATTTCAGTGTTGATTCAAAATTCTGGAAGTGTCCGAAGTCATCGTAAGGCAGCTCTTCATTCTCCGATGTTCTTCGCTGTCCAGGACTGCGGGGATATGGACTTTTGAGGTCGTGTCGGAGGGGTCTAAGCATGCGACCCTGGAGTAGTCTTCCAGTCGTAAGCCAGCCAGGCTCCAGGTCTGCGCGATTAGCAGGGTGTGTAGGGTTGTGTTTGACGGTTCGCCAACATGCTTTTTCGTGGTTGTGCCAACGCATCACTTTGGATGCATGCAGCTATTTATCAGCTTGACTGCTGCCGCCGGCACTCTCAAGATCTCTGCCAACCTCTCCTTCCGCATGGCGTATCGCTTTGGGGCTTTTCTGCAGATACTACTAGGCAGCGCTTCTCAAGATACCATCTGCTCCTAGAAGTCAAACAGGATTCGCTAACCTAATTCAATCACGACCGTGGCGATATCGAAACTGGGGAGTTTCAAGGTTCGAACAGGTCCTGATCGTACGTTTGCTGCAATGGCATTCACCCTGAACTCATGGAGTAGCGCGTCCTCAAGGATGTCATGACCATGGACTGCGCTGAGGTGCGCGTCGACAGACGGTACGACCGTTCCAGGTAAGTGTACTTGCCTCGGAGATGAAGGCTTCTGGCCGCAGACTATTGCTGTCAACTGTACAAATTTGTGAGGAATAGCCTCTGCCTGGTGGCCGATGTGGGTGTCGTCTGTTTCCGTCTCCCTTGATGTGGCACATGTTTTCCTTTATGACCGTCGTTTGAGATAGGTAGGGGTGGCCAATGCAGAGGCTTCCAATGCATATTCCTCAATTTATCGGTGGGTGTGACCAAGGCAAGGGTCTCCCTTCATTTAGGACCGGTGTGGCTAATGATTAGGGCTAACCCTTCGTTTGGGACCGGTAGGGGCGAAATTTGTCTTGTTTCGAGTTTGCTGCAGGGGTTCTTGATGACATGAAAAAGTAGCTGGCCAATGCTACCACGAGGCAAACTTGCCACCGGCTGGTCGCTGGCACCTCATCTGCAGCTCGCAGCTGGATCAACTGCTTCATGCCACATCACCTACTCAGCTGCTAAATGCTCAATCCATTCCCTCTTGCAACCCATGCTGAAACCTGGCCTTGGCAACAAACCAGTTGCAAGTTCAATTCTCAACAAAGAAAGTGCGCTGGTGTGTCATGTCTGCTTGAACTTGAGGGCAGCACGTACGGAAGCAAGGGGCCTCTCCTTGGGCATGGAAGTGATGCCTCCCTTCCGATGAATAAGTCGAAGCTGCGGTGCAATACAACAACTGCAACTCTTTGCAGGCTGCACGGCTGACGACATGCAAGCAAACTAGCAATAACATCTTAAAACTACTGGTGCCATTGCCGCAGTGCGCACCAATTGCCGAGCAGCGTCTGGAACAGAGGAGCTGCTTTCCCAAACGGAATCTGATTCTACCTGTGGACGAGTCAAAGCCTAAACGATTACACAAACGACTTAACCTGTGGCTGCATGCCTTTCACATCCGATTCCAGCAGCAAACAACCAAAAACTTGCGAAGCCATTAAGAGTGTTTACTTGGCCTCTTCCATATGCTGCTGCGACAGCACTGGCGAAGAAGGCAGCCTTCGTTGGCAAAGTGTAGACTTTCCCATCTTACTCACGCAAGATTGCTGCCTCTGCAGTTGAGCAACCATGGGTGCTTCGACCAGCTCGGGCCGGGAATGCGAAGCAAAGCCACTCGATGAGGATTTGCAAGCGGACTGGGAGTGGCTTGGAGGCCAGCAGTGAAGCTCCGGAACTCGGCCTGAGCCACAAGCTGCCATGTCCGTTCTCTGAGGCTTTGCAGATCGCAGGGACAATGATGGAACATCAGAACATTTTGGGTAGTACCATTCTGTATCAAAAGCGTCATGTCACAGGGGTAGTATTAAGGTGTAAATTCTTTTTCTGTTTCCACCTTACTTTTCTGGGTGAGTTTAGCTGATGTACAGGTCTGATTTCTTCCTTACGCTTGTTTCTTAGAGTAAAGTTGAAACGGCATGTTTTCAACCTTACTCTTAGAGTAAGGTTGACATGAAGCTGTATTCAAGCTTTCAACTAAATGGGGTATGCTTGTAGTTCCACTTTGATGTAACGACTTTCTCTATTGGCCATTGTGTGGAGCTGGAGTAAGGTTGAATTGGCATGTTTTCAACCCTACTCTTAAGCAAAGTTGAAATAAATGAGCCTGTATTCAGCCTTCGAAATAAATGGGGTCCGGCTTGTGGTTTGATTTAAATGGATTCGGCTTTAATCGGCCGCTGGGCGGTTTTAATTTAAACGGTTTCGGTTTTAATCTAAAGCGATTTCAGTTTAAATTTAATCGCATTCGGCTTTAATCCGCCGGGTGGCTCAGTGGAAACGGTTTCGGCTTTAGTTGGCAGCCGCTTCAAGCTTCTCAAGACAATGAGGTTGAAGAAATGTTTTGTTCCACCTAATCGGTAAGATAAGGTGGAAAAGTCATTTTAAATTCAAGTGGAAAGAAAAATAGTTTCTTCAACCTTATCAAGACAATGAGGTTGAAGAAATGGTCTTCTTCCACCTAATCGGTAAAATAAAGTGGAAACGGCATTCTAAATTGAAGTGGAAAGAAAAGCAGCTTCTTCAACAGCAGCTTTTTCAAGATTATCAAGACAATGAGGTTGAAGAAATGGTTTTTTCCACCTAAACGGTAAGATAAGGTGGAAAAGTCATTCTTACTTCAAGTGCAGAGAAATGCAGCACCTTCAACCTTATCAAGACACTGAGGTTGAAAAATGGTATTTCTCCACCTAAACAGCAAGACGAGGTGGGAGTAGGTGGGGGTGGGCTTCCTGTTTGAACCTTTTCCTTTTCGGGCCACCTTGCAATGATAACGGCAATTTTCTAACCTTATCCTACTGACCCACGGGGACCGATAAGGTGATAACGAACAGTTTGAGTTTCAACCAACAACCAAATTCTTGCCACGTGGTTTTCGGTGTAGTGGGCCTTTCGAAATCGATTAAATTTAACCGACCGGGCGAACTAAAACGAGCCGAACTCGATTAAATTGACAGGGTTGGGCGCTTGTTTCAAAGCAGGGATAGCTTGAATTTATCACCGGAATCGATCGGTTCGGTAACATTAAAATGCCTTTGCCATTTCAACCTTACCCTAAGAGTAAGGTTGAAAACATGCCATTTCAACCTTACTCTCAGAGTAAGGTTGAAAACATGCCATTTCAACCTTACTCTAAGACTCTAAGCAACAAGAGTAAGGAGAAAATCAGACCTGTACATTAGCTCGACTCACCCAGAAAACTAAGGTGGAAACACAAAAGGAATTGACACCTTCTACTAGTAATACCTGGGTCATTTCAACCTTAATCTGGGGCTCTTTGAACCCTACTCTAGTCATTTCCAACCTTGCAAAGTAGGCCTCAAGGCTCTGACACTTGATGGGTGAAATCACGCCGCGCAATCTGCACCAATGATTCCAGCGGTGGGTCAGTGCACACTTTTTGCAATCTGCAACAATGATTGGTTTTTTGGGCTGTCCACAAAGACACCCACGTTCCCAATCAGAAATTAGGTCCAGGATAACAGCCACCAAGGTACAGACAATGCGCAGGGCCTGAGACCATGCCTACGACCGAGCCGAAAAAAAACGATGCACCGGAGCGCTGCAGACAACTGTTATAGGACGTTATGGGCCTCCTGAAGAACCCGCGGGTATAAATAGGTAATGCGCCCTGAAGGCTACCTCTGGGCTGGTGATTCTTTGCAAGCACCAACGGTAAGCAAGAGCTGATTCTGAACCTTATTCTGTGGCAGGGTCCTGGATAGAGTAAGGTGGAAAAGTGCAGAGAAGTAAGGTCTAAAAAGCAGCCGAGCCTCATGCAATAAGGTTCAAAAGAGCAATCGGAAGGGACAGCAGTGGGAGTAAGGTCGAAAAGGGGGAAATTTTAGGACAGTTGCCAACACAAAGGAAGGACAGGAAACATCCAGGAACAATGAAAGCAAATCAGGAACAACAAGATGAAACGCAAGAACTAATCTGAGAATTCGTTCGGGTGTCGGAACACAGCTGGGTACAACTGGTTTCTGTTTGTAGCAAGCATTTGACGCCACAAGGTGGCCGACGGGCCTCAACACCAAGAAAGCCCTCTGACGTGGACACGTAATGCGTTGACAGCAGTTGGACAAGCAGCTGCTTTGTCTGGGCGGAGCGAACCCATACTTTTCTGCGAGACAAATGGACTCCCCACCGCTGCTTCTGTTTTCCGGCCTTCTATCCGAGAAAGCTCTTCCCGTTTTGTACCCAAGAAGTATGCATCACACTCATCAACTCAGCCCTGAAGCAATCTAAGGCTGCTTCCGAAAAGAATCTCCGAATTCTACTGGTCTTACAAATGTGCCTCCTGTGACCAGCTCCGCATGATCGCAGTGATCTCATCTGAGCCACATTGCCACATGAATACTGAATGCGGTGAGAAGGGTTTTGCTTCGCATCTCGCACGTGATACCATCGCACTGCTGTTCCAAAACGTAAGATGCGACTGAGACTTCCTGGTGCTGTGCTTTGAGACGAGGAGCCACGTCGCCGTGCCGAAGCGAGTGTCCGGGGGGTATGCTCAGAGGGAGCCCGTGCCGTAGCGCCTGAGAGCGACAAAATGCTGCAGCTTTGTGCAGTTTGTGTCAGTGCACAGGCATGAATGCTTGCCGTTGGTGGCAATGTACCAAAGTTTGAAAACACACTGGCCGGACCTCTCTATTTTTGGAAGTGGACGGCGATCTCAAGGTATGGGCACATAGGATGCAAATGGAACGGCAGGCCAAAGGTATCTGAGACTGAACTCGAAAGAACGTCAGGTCATGCAGCAAGGTTATAGGTAATTAGTAGGAGCTTCTCCCACGAGTCGAAGTTCCATGCACATGGACTACTGGTGGCACACTCTTCCAGCTTCATTCAACGGCCCCGCCTGAAAGTTCACCTTGCGACGAGGCAGCGCTCGCACCAGCCATTGAGGCTGCAAGCTGAACACTTATGAAACTTATGAACGCTATAGGAGAAATGGGGGTGGTTCGCTGGTAGCGTGCTGCACTGGCTTTGACATGCTGTCATGCTGGTTCGATCTCCATAGAAAGCTGCGCCTCTCAAGGAACCAGAAATGTATCAGGCCTCAAAATTCAAGACATGAACTGATGGGGAATGTCACTTGCCATGCTTTGTGCCCGATTCAACCACCAGACCAGTACCATCCAGAACCCACACCTCTCATCTGCAGATTGGCAATCGACTGCGTCGCTGCTTTTTCCGGCCCGGTGTCTCAAACGCTTTGCCTGGGCTGGGCTAGCAATGGTCGGCAGGTATGGTCTGCAACCGTAAATGCATCTCTCGGTAATGCGAAGTGACTAGCCAAGATGCAAGTTCTCCGACTTGATTGACTTGGACACACCATCCACGAGCACTTCGTACCTGTGGCTTAGTTTCCATTTGTTTCCACTTTCGATACTGCTGTCGGGTAAAACTGCAGTGGCGGGTCTGTTCGGGTCTAGGAACTTCACTTTCTTGCCCGGAGAAATGCCAATTCTTTCCTCTTCAAATCCGCTGACACATGCAATACGGGTAGTGGACACCCATAACATAAAGTAACGGGTAAAAGCTATGCATCACAGCCCGTTTTCGAATCTTTGCAAGCGTAGAGGAAGGGGAGGGGCGGAACTCGAAAGTCGAGTTTTGGACGGGAACCCAGGCCTGCCAAGACCCTCTGCTCCCGACCACAGAACAGCTACAGCTGCTCCAGCGCATCTCTTTGCTGGCGGTGGGCGAAGATGCTTCTTCCCGCTTCCATGTTGAGAGATGCTAGCACAAGCGACAACCAGGAAGCCGTGGATTCAAAAATGAGGGGAAGTGGCAAGTGCACTTCAAGCTGTGAACCTTGGTGCTGCAGACCCGCGCCCCACCACCGCCAACCCCAGCTTTGCTCGACAGGAGCACCTATGACATTTACAACTCCCTAGAGTCTTTCAGGACGGCTTTAGCGGGAGCTGACCGTGCTTACTTCATGTGATGACTTCTTGTTGCAAGTGCACCAAATGGAAAAAGGCTATGTTCAAGCAGCACTGGCTACTCGCCAAAAGCCCAGTTTCGAATCTTAGACAAACGGCTCTCAGAAAACCTGTAATGCAATTTGTGCCTTCTGCTTCGCCATTGGCAGGGTAGCAGAGCTCCGCATTTCCACACTAACTTCAACTAGTCTTCAGCATCACTGGTAGCATGTCATTCGGCAAGCATCTACATAGTCGTAATCCTGCTGACCCATTGTCAGGTACACAAAACCTGCCCTCACTCCATTTAGGGTTCATGTAAAGCCCCATGCAGGAGTTCTCACCGCTCCAGGCCAAACATGTGTGCAGTGTTCAAAACCCTGCTTTCATGCTGTTCCAAAAAGATGGTGCTAGCGCCGAAGCTATCGCTTTGCTGACTCGCGCTGCAGAGCATCTAGCCATTGCCGCGCACCGAACGCCAGCTGACGCGGACCAACCAATCTTAACGTTTATATAAACTCGCACAGGAGGGGTTTAGAACGCCGCGCATGTGGTATCTACCTTGATTAGAAAATATCCCTCGCTCTTTGGAGGGGCCGGGACGTTGCTACTGATCCACTGAATTCGGGATTGGTCGTACGTCAACCGAGTTTGTGGATGCGCTGTGGCTAGCTAACCAAAATGCCTTGGCTGAGTTTCGGAGATAGAGCTTCGCCACCTTTGCCCTCTTCTTTAGTTGACCAGTCCCGTACGATCTGGCGGAGGCTTTCTTGTGGGACATCGGACGAAAAAGCTACCAACACCATAAATCCATAAACATCAATTCAAACATAAACATATACATGCATGTACACTTACATGTGTGCGTTATATGGTTTATATATACACAAGCATGTGTACATACATGCGTACATATATATATAACATACCTGCATACATCTCGTTTCTTTCTTTCTGCCGGGCATGGGAACATACATCTCTCTCTCTCTCTCCCCTCCCTGTCTAGCAAAGATCATTTGCTACGTGCAACTGCCGTAGCAAGGTGGGTGCGTCTGAGGATGTGCAGCATTAAGTGTCGTGACGAAACGCTTTGCAACTCGCCCGTGGCCTGGAAACGTCATGGATGTAGCGGTTGACTTCACCAACGCGGCCATTGAGTATCTGCGCAGGTTCAGGCGCCGTGGTTGTATGGATTTGTCGGTGCTGACCTAAAGCATACACTGCGGGCTTCTAGCTACTTGGATGCAGGGGCATTCCGAGAGCTCTTCGGGGATCAGGTATCAAGTTGCCGAGTATTTCAACGGAATCACTTTGCCAAACCTGCTTCCGAGTCAGCATCTCGTCCTGCGACATCCCGGCTGCAAGCAGGACTGAAACCTGAGCCCTTCACCCCTCACCCTATGTTATGCTTTTCAAGACTATCGGATACTATCGGCTATCACTTTTGAATGGTGCAGTGGCCTTGCCAGCATCGCTTTGGAGGCTGTGAATCCTGGCTTGCAAAGGCAAAGGCAGCTGATCAAGCTCCTCTTCGCACCGCCGTAGCAGGGGCTGTGCCCTACGGAGAAGCACGACGAACTGCAAGCTGACCCACCGCTCAACCCTGATGTCCAGGGCATGAGAATTGAGGGCATCCATGACCAGGCCTGCATTTGTCACCCGGAAGGTAGACTCGTTCTCCTTCCGGTCGGAGGTTTTCGGCACCTCAGCAGCAAGCTAGGCTCAGCCTCCTGGTGTGGAAAGAGACACTTTTCGCAACACGGTGAAAACATTCCTCGAGAGGCAAAACGGCAGAACGTCTGGAGGCCCTGAGGCCCGGTCGGAGAGCTTTTGTGTCACCATTGCTGAGCTGTGCCTCTTCGGAGACATGAAGCATCTTTCAGCACTCGCAACTGCAAACCAGGCTACAGTACCACATCCCGCGCAAGAGCTGTGATTTGCACACGGAATGAGTCTGACCCCTCAACCCAACAAGCCGGATCGGAATAGAAGCAAGCTTCCTCCCAGCGTCCGTTCACTGAGTTGTAGCCGACAATCCTGCCATAGAAAGCTCATGCTCTTGGACATCCTATTGCCGGCTTTCCTTGAGTTCGCTTCGGTCAGCCAGTGACAGTTTCAGTGCTTGGCTCGGCAGCTTACACTGTCCTCCCAGTGAGGCCATTGAGGTGCTCTGCGTTTTTGAGGCCGCAAACCTGTGAACCATGCAGGGTACACGCAGGTTGGGCTGTGCATAACTCTGCCAGCCGCGCAAACGCTTTCGGTGCTGGGCGACGCACGGGGCTCTATACGGACTGACTGCGTGTTGTCCTGTATTGGAGCTTAGCATTCTGACTAAGCGTCGGGCCGCGACGGGGGCGCCTATCCTCAGAGCATTCCTTAGCAAAGCAAACAAGTGGTCGAATGCTCAGATGAACGTCGGGGTCAGAAACTGTCAAGAGATCGGCTAAACCCTCCAGAGATTGGCACGAAGCTGTGTGCAAGCATAAACACGACTTCGCAAACCCGTTGCAAAAAAAGTGGGTGCAGGGATGTGCCCTTCGCGTTCGTTTGGTCTGCGGAACGCAAGACCTCAAGCGCTGATGCAGACATGAACTGCCATCGTCAAATTCGTGTCAGACTGAGAACTCTGTCCTGTGTGGTGTGTGGATCTGATCTACGCGTCAACGGGATTGCGGGCTTTGGGTAACTTTGGTCCTGGTGCAGTGTCTGCAGGCTGCCAAGAAAACAGGTGGTATCGCCAAATCGAGGCCATTACCATCTTGTCCATGTGCGTAAACTTGCTTCATCAGCTGAGGTATGTTCTTGCCGGTACCAGCTGTAGAGCCAGCTGCAAGAGTTCGAGGATCAAGCCTGCTGCTCAGCTTGACAGGGGCTGCCACAACTTTCGTGAGCTGTCCATAAAAGCACAATTGTCAGGTTGCGTCCCATCTGTGAGGATGCCCCTCTCATGGGCCTGTCCAGCTGCTGTATGATTGCGTCGGTGCTGAAGTTGGCAGCAGCCTGGACAGAGTTCTAAGACTACGAATGTTGCGAAAGACATTGTTTTGACTGATGCTGGATGCTACGGGTTATTATATGCAACTCGGGCAAGCTAGGCGAGGTACAGGATTTGGGGACTGCCCCCCTCTGCCCTCTGGCTGATGTTTTGCTCCTGTCTGGCTCCTGCTTAGGCCTCCAGGCTCTCGTGACATTCATGCCGTTGATTCCGCCTTGCGGGGCATCTGCATTCTGGATTGAGCATTGACTTGCCAGTTCTGTGGTGCCACATGTCCACGAGCTCCTCGCAGGTTCCTCGTGCTCCCTTTGTCTCGTTTTCGGATGCGGACATTCCATCCCAGTCAAGCTTAGCAAGCCCCATGCCAAAGACGAAGTCGTGTCACAGCCAAATGCAAGCTAAAAGACGATGATGTGAGTTGAAACCTAATGTCACCGTATTAGACAACCACGAACGAACGGACCACTTGCCACAGAAACATTAGTAACCATTAGTTTTATACACACTGGCCAATTCGCCTTTTCTCTGCAGCGCCGAAGTCCCACTCCACTGAAGCTTCGAGCCCTTCGAAGAATGAGGGGCTCCTGCCTCCCCGTCTTGGGCTTAAGTCTTTTCGATTCTCCGCCTTTGGGGGCTTCGGAACTGAAGTGGTTCCGGCTCTCCGAGTTTTTCTTTTGACAACTAGCACAGTTCGCAATACCAATTTGGTGGAAAACGGCCATAAATTGGCTCTCCAAGTATTTCTGGCTTAGTGCTTCCAGCTTCATGTTGCCAACTCCGCTAGGGGCCATACATTCAAGTCTTCCTCTCTTAGCAACAAAAAGAACTGACACTAGCTTAGACTTGCTCATCTCCGTTTTCAGAAAAGAAAGCACCATCGAGAAGGCACACTGTGACGGCCTGATTCGGCTGGTATGCGCCATTCGTGAAATGATGGATGAGGTCCAGGCCTCAACAAACTTGCAGTCTGGGGTCAATCGAGTTTATCATCCCTACAAGTATCTTGCACGTCATGTCATGCCTCTCTCAACACGTCAAGGGTCTGGCTCGTCCGCTGCCCCATTGACTCCATGGCAGAGTACTTAGAAGGCAGTCCTGAGCGTGTCTTCCGCCTAGTGGAACATTCTGCACGGTGAAGCTGCAAGCAGTGACACAGATTCGGTTCTTACAGCTTCGTAGCGTGTCGCACATCAAGGGCCGCGCTCTTTCTCAGCAAGAAGTGCAACGCACAGTCCTTGGGTGCAAGGCCACATGCCAATATTGAGAGGAAGGCGTGGTTTCTGCGACTCTGGTGATGCAACGGCCACTGGGTCGCTGGGTACTCCTGGCATTTTATGCACAGCCAGCCTACATCCCACGCTATCTGCATTCTGTCAGAACTGATGCGCATGTCTGATGCTGTATCCAGGACTGTGAAGGGCCCTGCATATTCTGGTATCCTCCAAAAGAAAAACGATCACTCGATGTTTCACTACCTGCAACCACCAGCCTCGTTTCGGGCGTACGCTGTCTTGAATTCCACTTTAGGCTCACGACGCTGAAGCTGTTGCAGTTCTTCCGTATCAGGTCATAGGTGCCTGGCCTGAGTGCTCACGCGCCATGTCGTGGTGAGATCCGTTTGGCTCAGGCAATCTTGACCGGTTAAGAGGTGATCGGAGGTCAGCATACTCTGATTGATGACGACTTTGGTTTGCCGGCAGTCGCAACTACAGTATGACTAGCATGGTCTGCAAATCAGGAGGGACGACAGCGGCCAAGCAAATCTCTTGACATGTAAAGAGGGTGGATACAACAGGCCAGTGTGCTTCCCAACCTCTTATCTTGATGTCCTCGTTACTTCGGAGGGGGAACCTGCAACAAGACTTCCATTCTGAGTGCTCTTCATTCTTCTCGTCTGAGGAGCTATTGCGAGTCACCAGTTGAACCACTACAGCACCAGCAGCAGCTACGACTGATCGTGCCAGGCCGCCGAAAGTGCTCTTGCAAAGCTCGAAAAAGCTGCTGGCCGGTCCAGCGTGACAGGCCCATCGCCAACTGACAAAGCTCCGAAGCATTGAGACAAGCATCTTGCGGCTTACCAGGCTACCATCCAAAGAATTCCTGCAGCCTCATGTGTACGCAGAATCCGAAAATCTCAAGCATCGTCGAACGCCACAGCACGTTCTCACGTTGATCGGGTACACATCCTTGCTGGCTTCCCAGGATGGCAACAGCAATCGGAGGAGAGCCTTCTCTGACGGCTTGCCCTGATGGCCTGTCAGTGGCAACACCGTAAACTTCCGAGAAATCCCGCCACGACAGGGCACGACAAAAATCGACGTGGTCACGAGCAATGTGTTTGCACATGAGTGTTGCGCAAGAGATGAGTACTCGGTCCGATCCTGAGCTACGTTCGCCCGAAAGGCACAAACCCTAAACAGCACACGCCTTGTTCTTGGCACATCGCCTGCTGCCAAGTCGCTTGTCAAAGTCATGTTTGCGAAAATTCCACCTCAACAATAACGGCTGGCGAGAAGTGCTACCCAAGAAGCCGAGCTAGAAGTCGTCACCCACCACAGACTCAACGCATGGACATCCAAATCACAATCCATGCTGTGGAGACGGCTATCCGAGAAGAAGAATTCCTCGCCGTTGACGACAACCTTCAGCATGTCAAAACGTTTTATGCTTGTGAGCTGCCACGCACCGCGGAGCGGGACCGTGATTGTCACCTCTTTCAAAACATGTCTTGAGTGGCGCACGGACGTGTGATATGCAGAGGCCAACCCAGGAATAGTAAACAGCCTCGTGCGGAAGACACTGCAAAGAACATGCAAGCAGTCATACCCTGGAATGGCACTCGGTCTGTCATTCGTAATTCTTTACACATCGGGAAGCTGGCCCCAGCTATACAAGCGCGAGGTTACTTTACAAGTTCATTCGTCAAGCCGACATCCGTAACCCTCCGCTTCGAGAGTGAAACCCTTCATAATTTGCAGACTGGTTGCAATGACGTGGCCAACTCCACCTGATTCGTTGCTTCGCCTGTCGCGTGCTCACACGAAATCTAGGGGCGTAGGCAAGCGCGCGGGCAAAAGACACGCAACGGAACTTGCGCGCTACCATACAGACACGAAAGCAGATGAAGGAACCGACAGCAGACAGGATAGACAGGATCAGGTAGGTAGATAGGCAGGAGGCTAGGCAGATGGGTGGTAGATGGATAAATAGATAGGCAGGTAGGTACACACAACACGATCGAAACCTGTACAACATCTCCAGCCTACTCAAGCACCTCATAAGGTACGGCTTGCATGTAGGAGCATTCGACATAAGTGCGACCACACGCAGTTTGCAAGAGCAGTGGTTAAAAGGAGTTGCCACAGCCAAGCCTTCTGCAGGATCATCTGGTGGTCGTATGTCAGACAGGTGCGATGGCCAACATCCGGAAGTTACCTTTCCACTTCTTGGATGGACAGTGCCAGTGACTGAAGGATGTTGCGTCTCTTTGGCTTCTTTGACAGTGCTTGCTGTGGCATGTGTTTGCAGTGTATTCCCACGCCTGCGCAAAAATACGACGATTTCTCACTCACGGTGTTTTCGCTTCCATCGGACCAAACGAAAACAGTTGCTTCTGGAACGATTATACAGCGTTGACTTCTGCAAGCCTCTGGAATCGTCAAGCAAGGACCTGTTCTGGGCGTTCTCGCCAACTGGGGCTTTGTTGGGCCCTACTGCGCTTGCTTCAAAAAGAAGCCTGAAAAGTGCTGTCCAAACAAGCTGGCATTCTGTATCCTGTTGTCGTGGCTGCATCCGGTTGTAAGGATGCAGGCCGAGTGTCGTAGGTGCGCCTTGCATGCTCCGAAGAAGCCGATAGTTTGCTGGCTTGCATTTGCTATTGATGGGAATGTTAATGTTCGTTTCGGGCCACGCCGTGCGCATTGGTTTCACGAAATCCCTCGGACACGAAAAACCTGGGATGCAGTGTCCAGCATGCCAATGCACCGAGCATCGAGCTAAACAAAGCTTCCAGTGGCACACGTTCAGCAATCGGGGCAGCACGCGCGAATGGAAACAACGAGCAGGCACATCGGAACATCGTGGCAATCTCACACTGAGTCTCGCACGTTCCCCATGGTGAAAAAGGCAGCTCAACTCATCTCGGGAAACGGCGTGATTTAACACTATCAATTACATTCATCGAAGGCAAGCTTCACCTGCTTCCAGGAGAAGCAACACCTTACCACTGAACTTTTGCCAAATCTTGCTTATCAGTCATGACACATGCGACACGTGTCATCGCAACTTCCTCAGGTCTGTGGTGGCACGGTATGGCGGCGGGCATATATAGTGAAACAAACGTTGCTCACGCTGTTCCATGCAGAATGTAGAAAGCAAGGTGCAAAAGGACACGACCATGGCAGTTGCCACAAGTGTCCCACGCAATGTCACTATTGCTGTGGGAAAGCACCAATTTACTTGATCAGCTGAGTGCTGCTCTCGCCTTGCATGTCTCAGAGCACTAGAGCACACTTTTCGTCTAAGCTCGAAGCAAGTCGACTCAATATGCCGTTGCTTCCCTGCAGTGGGGCATGCACTGCAATAAGCTGCATGTTAGCCTTCACTGTGAAACTATCTGAATATGTGATCTCCTTGAGCAAGCCCCGCCCGGATTCATCTCAAGGTTTTTTGAGACTTCTTCCATGCCCTCCTTCCTCAGCATTGGATGTCGTGGGCAGTAGATGCATAATGATCTATGAAGGAGTATGGTCACCGGGCTTTGGAGGGCATGCAACTGATTCAACGGACCTGTCCCTGCCAAGCTCAACAGATACGTAGGTCACAACGCTGGCCCCATGTGGCCACGCAGTCGCCATCCCTTACGAATGCTGTAGCGGAAAGGCACACCGGTTCCTGGCTAGCCGTGAGATTCCCTTGATGCGACTGTCCGAAGCCTTTCAGCAAAAACTTCCATCTCGCTGCTTTCACGGCTTGGCCGTTGCTGCACACATTATCACAACTGACAGCAAATTCTGCTCGTCAGCTGATCTCAGCACACGGAGCCGGCAGCAAACTAGAACCGAGGCGTCTGGCAAAGAAGGGTGGCTGCGATCTTCGTGTGCAAGTAAGTGTTGTTGGATCGAAGAAATACAAAGCAACCATGTCTGACAGTGGTTTTGGGTCTGCTGCAAGCGGTCCCTTTTTCAGGAAACTCACGTCTAGGCATGCGTCGAATTGCAAATCAATTCTAGCAAAGGCTCCTCCCCAAGAGACTACTGCCTTGACGCATCAAAGCATCTTCCTCAACGCAAAGAGATTTTCGTTCCCTGTTGGCTTGGCATCAGAGCTGCGCCCGTGAGTAGTAGGTAGGTGATGGTGACTGCCTGAGTTGCGGCCACAGTTCGGGCCCAAGAGTATTTGCAGGGTGTAATGTAATCTACGAGTCTACACACCTCTTCATTTTTGTCGACGGCCACACGCCTTGGAACTCCAGGCCCGAACTCCCAGCTGCTAGACCATATTGCGCAATGTGGAAAAGCTACCGTCAAACTTGATCCGAAGATTACTGTTGTGAACACGATTTCTTCTTGGAGCCTGCTGCCGGACGAAACGCGGGGTGATCTGTCTTCCTGCACTGTCCACGCGTTCGAGTCAAAGGTTTTGAGAGCTTAACGTTTTATTCGACAGCTGCGTTCCGCACCACTATGGAAAACGTGTTGCAAATTGCCCCGTGGCATAGCCAAGCTAAGCACCTCTACGAATGCCTCTGCTAGTGCCTACATCTTTGCTTGAACCTGTATCTCCAGTGGTCAACTGGGACAAGTTGGAAGGCCAATCCGTCATGTCCAGTAACACTTCTCTATGAAGCTTTTCGTGGTTTTACACCGTGATTCGCGTGACATGCTGCCACAAAGTAGCAAGAAGTTCGGCGGTGTCGGCATACTCGCATACTTGGCACAGCCAGGCAAGGAAGCAGGATAGCTTGCGGTTGAAGAGCTAGTTGTCTTCCTGGTGCTGGTTTTTATGCGAGACCTGAACTTCGAACACTTTCTGCCGCTCCTCGCCGTCTGTGCCAGTACCTCGCCGTAGCATGCAACAGATTGACAGAACCACCATTGCTCGAACTACGCAACACACAGGGGAAACGCTAGAAACTGCAAGCATCCTGTAGCGTCACAGATCCTTTTGCAAATGTCCTCGGCATCATTGTGCAGAGATGTGTGCTGACTGTCTCTAAGGTTCTGGCGGTTCCTCACACTGAGCCGCTTTGCAGTTGGCATTCGCGGCATGATGTGCGCCTGGGACCCAAACCGCGGCTGTTGCTTCGTGCCGTGTTTTCAATTGGGATCTTCGGCTTTGCCCAAACAGGCACAAGTCATGTACTGGCTGACTCTGCAGCACGCCCCTTCAAGCTCGATGTGGTCATCATGCCAGCATAGACCCCAAAGTCGAAAACCTTACAGTACATACGACATACGTACTGGCGGGAACTAATCATCCCATCAGTCCAAAACGCGTAAAAAGACACGATTGGCAGGCCAAAAACATGCAGGGCACTGTGGCAGGAGCACGAAGTCAATAGGTGGAAACGCCGCACGAGACATCGGCGGGAGCATGATTTTGGAAGCGGAGGCACGAGGCGCACCACAAATAGGCGGAAATGCACGGGACTGTGGTGGGAAACGAGTTGCACACTAAAATTATGTACAATACGTGCGTCAGCGGCGGGAGCACGGTTGCCAGCATGGAGAAACCCCAAAACCCCAAGGAGCGGAGTGGCCGTGCCAGGACTTTGGCGACTGTGAGCGATTTGGAAACCGTAAAGAATACGAGGTGTGGTGGGAGCACCAATTGCACTAGAAAGCACACCACGACATGTTCGGCACTGCGGCGGGAATGCGGTTCACCAAGTTCGGAACCCAAAAGCACCAGAGTATTGGCATCTACGATGAATTCGGGATCGTGGAAATTGCCCGAGCGGGACTGCAGAAATCGAAATTGTGCACCGCACCGCAGCACTGGGCATGCCTAGCACTCTCAGCAGTCCAATCCGTTTGCAGTGAACATCAGGACCCCGAAGAGTCACCAGTGTCTTTTGGGGAAAGCCATCCATCTGAGGTCGCATCCTGCGCTCGTTTTGCCTTCTCCAGGAGGGCAGGATTCTTCTCAAGCTCCTCGGTGCACTTCTACATCATCCCATGCAGACATGAAGCGATGGTGTTTGCGCAAAGCTGCAACAGCATGTGCGGTACCGGACTGGATCGAATGCAGACTGGTTTTTGCCAGTGTTGAGAAGCAACTCAAGCCTTTTGCAAAGCAAAGCGGCCACTGCACGATTGTAGATGTCCCTTTTGATGGACAGGATGCGCACCTCACCCGATCTCCAACTGTAAGCAAATGACCGGCCAGAAATGGATGGCATGCGCTATGCTGCTGGAAGTCAACAGACACGACAGCAACTCAACAACTTGCCAGGCTCGTGCTGCGAGTGTTGTTAATCCGGGCGTAGACACCAACCAATGAGTAAACAGTAAGTCACGTTTTAGTCCGAGGATATCGCCTGTAACAGAAAGCCTCCAAATGCCCACTCATCTCTGAGAATGTTTCACTGCTGGGCAAGCCCCTTTCCCAAGGCCTTGCTGGTGCTGAGGAACGCATCGAAGTCAGGAGTGAAAAACTCTGACGTCAGTGCGTCCCTGCGTCAAACGGGTCGTCCAGAAAAAGCACTTGCAGGTTTCCTTACGTGTGACTCTCATAGCAAACTCCAACCACGCACATGTGGCCTCGCGAGGACCGAAAACCTGCAGCTCTCGCAGTCTGTGAATATGTTGCAGCTTAGTGAGTTCGACTCTCACAACTCGCACGTAGCAGGCAAGGCTCCACACATCAAACGACAACTCGGAGCAAGGACGAATACGACCAAAACCAATCTAACACCATGCAACCATCCAGTAAAGCCCTTAGCTCCAAGTTGCAGCATCTGCTATCGAGACATCTGCCCGAAACTGTTTGAAAATACACTGAGCATAGCCACATACCACATGACTTCGAAATTGTTGCAATAAGGGGAACGGAAGGGTTTGGTCGCTTGCATGTGCGTGTGTCAACTCGTGCAGGCTCATACTCTCTCAGGGTTAGGTTTCGGGACTGACTTTCAGGCGCGGAACGCTCCATTCTCTGTCTTGAAGGACTCGTGGCCAACAAAAGCTCCGAGTCGTCCTGAAACAGGTCTGAACGGACACTAGTCTGCCAGGACTGGCGTTGATGCCCTCATGCCAAATCAGTTCAGACCGCGAGGTCCTTGCAATATCAGGGTGCACCGATCGGTCTCGTGCCCGCGAGTGTACAGCCTACAGCTCGTGGAACTCGGGCCACACACGTGACTGCAACCCGCAGAGCTGAAATCTGCACGACCTCGTTAACGCACGTGTGCTCGATCTGAGATCCAGGCATGTCGCTTTCAGTGGGGCCCTGCCCTGAGGCTGCATTGCGCCTTAAGTTCATCACCTGCCAAAGCGCTTGTGAATGGCAGCCGAATGAACTGTTGTCTTCAAGAACAAGGTAAAACATGCCAGTAGATTTGCTCGATCGTGAAAGAAATGCGATAACCGTCGGAAGCGGAGGTTGCTTTCGGATACTTCGGTTGCTAGTGCCACTGCAGCTGGCCAAAGGTTCTGCTGTGAAGAACTGTCAGAACTATCACGTACACTAGAACCACTCGAACTCACCCGCGAAGTCCAATGACGAGGGCTTGTTCGGAAATTCATTGAATGAAATCCAGGAGGCGACATTTTCTGGAATTTAAGTTTCCTGCTTCTTGTTCACTCTTCCCAGTGATCTTGAGACAGCCTCTTGCGATTCGGAAGTAGTCTTGCCTCCCAGCAGTGCTGGGACGAGTACAATGGCCTCCCGCCAAACAGTAGCTCCAGCCAAAATAACCCTTTAGGCTCAAGTGTGGCAGGTATAGTGCTCACCCAAAATTTCCTGTGCAGCAAAGCTACCGCTTGAATGTACGGGTTTGCGGCTGAGAGAGTTGATGCGATGCGAACCCTTGCTCTGTGTGCCACACGGTGTCTTGCTTCGTAGCCGTTTCTAATATTGATGTGGTGAAACACACGTCGCATTCGGGCTCGTGGGCTCTTTCTGGCGTTCTTGCTTATGTAACTGCCAGGCAAAGAGAACCCTATGCACTTTTTTTCCCACCCGCCCAGCTGACCAAGTCGCACCGCAGGGAGTTTCGACAGAGTTTACGGGACCCTATGCACTTCATGAAGGGCTTGACAAACACTTACCATCTAAACTTGGTGCAGCCGTTACTGCAGCAATGCCCGTGAGAAGCGCCTCTGCCTCACCCACGAGCCATGTCACCGTCTCGTACTTGAGTGGGCAGCGGCTACCTGGATCACCATATATTCGGGTTTGAGGTGGGCTGCAGGACATGTCTTCCACCTTCTGTGAAAGCTGTGCGCGTCAGATGTGCGGAGATGGCATTGACCTGCAGGGCTCGCAGCCGAACTCTTCGTAAGGGATACGACGTTGCGACGCACATGCAGTCGTCCTCAGCAGTCTGCCTCCTCCAAACTCAGCTTGTCTGCTTTGGACCGCCAAATCGGGTTGAACACGCCTTCACATGTGTAAACATTCGGTCTATGGCAGTGCAAGCACACAGCAAGCCATCCAGGTGCGCCTAGGTCGAACTTCCGTTCGTTTCGACCCTGGATCTTCAACTGCCGGTCAACATCGACCTGAGACACGGCATCCGAAACGACCTTGAGGCTAAAGGCCCTGAGCTGTGCGGACGTACGTGAACTCTGAAACATCTGCCCAGAAGGCTCAACAGGCTCCCTTGCCAATGAAATGGGTTCATCCGTGCGAGGAGACTGAGAGGTGATGCATAAACGTCGGTCTCGTCCACGATTTCCTCCTGAATGATCTCTTCTACAATGTCTTCCAAGGTCAACACCTGAGCCAGATGGGAGATACTAGGATACTACAGCACTGCCGTACATGACGGGCCAGGACTTTCGATCCCTGAAGCACTCTTTTTTTACTCTATCGAAGCCAGATCTGCGACTCTGTTGTTCAGAGCATCAAGGGCTTGAAGCTGGCCCTCCACCAGCTGCACATCTTCGCAGGTGTCGTTTTCCTCCTGCTCACAACTCGTGCGTTCTCAACGCTAGTTTACCTCCGCCTAGTCTTGCATATGCGACAGTCCAAGGGCTTGAGGAACCTAATTTCAATTTCGATGGGATGATCAGCGCTCATGTCCAAAGCCTGGCACCTGTCACAACCCGTTCCACATTGCAAGGACATGTCGGTCCAGCCACCGCAGTGTTCGGCTTGCCAGTTCCTTGGCCGATTCAGATTTTCTGTATGAGAGTCCTCCGACGGCTTATCGGATCCCAAAGCCCGCACAGTGGCACAGTTTATTCAACAACAAACTCAAATCGACAATGGTGCAAGGTGCGTGCTGGTTATATGCATGATCTTGCATCCCGGGCTCCCCGTCGCCCCGCCTGGTATCCTTCCCAAGGCTGTCTGTGATGTTGTCACAGACATCAAGCTGTCGCTTTGGAGGATGGGAGCAACGCCGCGATGTAAACATGTTAACAGTCGCTGAAATTGGAACTGTTGGTGTACTTTCGCAGGGTGCCGGGATTTTAGAACAAATATTTGAGCGAGATTGCCAAGCAATCTTTGCAGTCTTGGTCTCGCCGACTAGTTCACCTTTTAAGACCAAGATTGCCAAGCAATCTTGCAATCTTGGTCTCAAAACGTAAATTAGTCGGCGAGCAAGTGGAGCAAGATTGCCAGCAATCTTGCATTCTTGGTCTCCCAAAATTAAAATAAACTCATCGGCTGGCAAGTGGGGCAAAATGACCAAGATTGCTTGGCAATCTTGCTCCCCCCGGACCAAGATTGCCAAGATATAATTGTTCGAAATTCCCCGGCACAATGTATTTTCACAAATTTTCGACATGCAGGGCAACTTCACATCTCAAACATGGCCACTGTGGTCCCATATGAAGTCGTCATCTGCATGATCGTCGTTGTTTTGTGGGAGCAGAACACGGATACGGTTTGCAATGGAGCAGAACCAAGCAACGAGGCGACGGCGGAGGCAAAGAGGGTGAGAGGCTGGGAATCCAAACCAGACCCTAGGCACCACACCCTGCGGGCCGGAATAACATTGTTGTGCGGGCTCTGGGTCGTGCGCGGCCGCTCCAGGCGTGATCTTGTGAAGTGGCGCTTCTGAAATCCCACTGGCGGAAGGCAGCGGTGACAGCAAGTGGCCTGGTTCCTGGAAAATTACCGGAGCATCACTGATAACACCACGTTAGTCATATCATGCCTGATGCCATGGCTAACTGTCCCCGGATTCCAATCCCGTTTTCACGACATAAGGATGGCTCGAAAGAATCAGCTCGTCGTCTTGTAACGGTCACAGTGAGCCCTCCAACCTTCATGGCACAAATCTCTTGGTGGCCGAGCATCTACATGTTCGGTCCCACCCAAATCTGCGAGCATGCGCGTGCACTGATTGAACAGCTTGCTCTTGGCCGTCGTAGAAGCTGTCTGCCGCCAACCTTGGCTGACCAAGCGGGTCCAAACGACGGCATATTGGTAAGCACGTCGAAGCAGAAACACGTTAGGCTTTGCCAGCGCCAAGTGGCTTAACTCGTCTAGCGTGATCATGTGCTCGACCTCTGTGTTACTCCACCGAGGTCGATCATCTTCTGTGACCACCAGGTCGGCAGACTTTCCAGAACCAAGACCAACAGCTTTTACACGCAGTATGCCGTTGGCATCAATATCCAGGGTGATATCTACAGCGCTATCTGCCGCAGTCAAGCCCTCGAGCTGAAACTCTCCCAGCACGTGGTTTTGAGCGGCCAGGGAAGCCTCGCCTTCCAGAAGCTGAATTGCAACATTGCTAGAACGTGCTGCGAATCTCCTCGTTGTTTTTGTTGGAGATGTGCTGTTCCTCTCGATCAGCCTAGTCATCTTGATGTCTCGGTGCTCTTTGATGGTCAGGACTTGATAGTTTGCCAGGCTCATATGGGCTTGAACTTGCAGATCGTGGAGGAAGCAAGTGGCGCTGGTCCATCCCAATCGGGAGCTGATAGAATCCTTACGAGCTTCCGACATCAAAGAGCCACGTGAAGCCAAGCAGACACGGCAAACACGGATTCTACGATTCTACAAGTATCAGTTGTTGATGCGGATGCGAAAACATCCATTAGCACCACACATCACACATCGAAGCTGGAGGAGGAGGAGGAGGAGGAGGTGTGGCAGCAAACATAAACCTAACATGCCAGTGTGCAATCTCCGAGAAGCGCTGAGAAGCACTCAAACAATCTTCAAGCAACAGATCTATGCGCATAGAGAGGAAGTGCTGTTTTCATCTGCGGCATATGCTGAGATGCATCGTCTCATCATCGGAGATCGGATTGACACTCCCGCGACTCAGACCAACCTTGAACTTCGGATCGCTCCCTGAAGTCCGATCCCGCTGATGCCAGTGATGTGTCAAGTCCTATGCTCCATCTATTGTTCTCCTCGTTGTTTTGTTCACCAATTTCTGCCAGAGGACTTACGACTTCCAGATGCTCAAAACGCAGCATTGCTTCTTCATGATTGTTCTCGTGTTGCCGTTGCCAGTGGAGCACTGCTGATCTGAAAGGGGTGCTTGCTACCAAACTTCGACGAGCATGCCCGCAGTGCTCTCCGCAGCCAGTGTGAATTCCAGGACCAAGTCTCCACCCAAAGTGCCTCAATCGTCCAATAATTTCGCTAAGCTAACAACAACGATCGATCACCTGCTTCATTTTACTTTGATTTCATTGCTGCATGGGCTTTCTGAGAACAGCAAACTATATGACTTCCGCCTGCGCTACTCTTGCTGCAAGCCATGTCACACTGCACACTGCAGCACAACAACTTCTAAACTTGATCGACAAGCCACGGGCTTCGACAAGCAAGTTCTCCTCCGGCTGTGAGATGTTGGCCTCAAGGAGTGGGCAACCAAACCAGTCTTAGGTTTTTCTGCCATGGGCCTATGGATGCGGATGACCTGGTAACGTTGTGTGAAAATTAGCCGTGGCCCTGCACGGAGCGCATGAACCTTGCCCTTACGCTTGGCTACTACTAAGGCCGAGTTCCACGTTCGAAGCCGACACTCACGCATGTTGGAAACATATAAGCTGTCGATAGAACGAATCTTTGTGTGCCTTCCGCTAACAAAGCAGCTGCTCGATCTCTCCGCAGTTACTTTCCAGAATTTGGTGAAATTCACTTTCTGAAGAAACAGACGCCGCGTGAGGATCCAACGAGATGGTCCCAAACTACAGTACTATCTTCTTTCTCCCAGCGTAAGTCATGTAAGCCCAACCTCCATCGGTATTGAGTTTTGAAGTTCAACGATCTCTCGGCCTGTAACACCCGCGCTGGAAGTGTCGCGCCCGGCTCCAGGAGGCGAAAGCCCTCCGAACTTGCCTCGATGCGATTTGTCTTTCCGACTCCAAGCGCCTGTGTTTGTAGCGAGCTCACATATCCCCGAATCTTCTCGTGACTCCGACCCCCTGCACAGGCACAAGCCCTCATCAGGCGCTACCCACTTGCGAGTGGTCTTAGCATCGCCGTCCAGGCACAATGCCAAGGGAAAGAGGCGTGACATCGAACAAGCACCTGGTCGTCACAGCGAGCATTTCGAAACCATGACGCGGAAAAGCGTTCACTCATTGCAAGCCCTGCCAGCCGCTTTAACTTATCACAACACTTTGTGTCCACAGCACATGAGGATCCCATCATCTCTTGGAGCCGCTGCCAGAGTCGAGCGAATGGTCGTACGCACCTTCCGCCTGCACTTCACACGGTCCACGCATGTCGCATGCAAAGCGTTGGAACATGTCTGTCCTCGACTTTTTGATCTTCAGACCAGTGCATTTGCTGAAGATTGGGATCTCGCAGAGTCCGAACCGCCTTCATGTGCTCCTCGGCCTACATTTGTTTTCTGTTTGTCATGGTTTCCTTGAAGAGTCCGCAGGCACCTCGCAGCTTGCTCCTCTTCGGTAAGTCCGCGATTGAGAGCCAGCTTCGTGGCACATCGGATGTTATCAAAGCCTCGGATGGACTTGGATGTCAAAGAACGAAACCGAAGTACATGCAAACCAATACAATTAAGTTTCGGCCGTGCATCTAGTGCTTGGTGCCTGAACATGGATCTTCAACTCTGCCAAGTTCGAGACAAAGGCCCCAGTCCTGGCACAAAGATGAAGCATCTGCAACTGCATCATTCCTGACCGCTGAATGGCCTCCCCGATCGGCGCGCTTTCTCCAGCTCATCTCCCAAGACGCCCAAAGCGCTCCGGATTCCATCCTTCGTTTGATGATGTTTAGAAGCTCTGCGTGTTGTTGGCGCCGGGCGTGTATTGTTGCGATTGTTGATTGTTGTGAGACATCTCAAGTGTTTGCCAACATGTCCGGTCCGAAAGCTCGGCAAGCACATCGCGCATCTTGCATGCTTGCATTCACTTTCGAAGGGATTTGGTTCCTGGCTTTTGGGCAGTGAAGATTAGGAATCCTGGCCCAAACCTGAAAGCTGGGTCTAAGTAGGAAAACAAAAAGGTCACTGGCCTGGGTCTTCAGAACTGCTTTCCATTTAGACTCTTGGCCATCTTCTGCCCCTGTCTGCGGCTGCAGCTTTGTTGGCAATACAGAGTCATAAGAGAAGCAGATAAATAAATGGAGTGCATCCCCAAGCATCTTTCACATTCTTCACTGCTCCAGCCGAGACTCTAAGCCAGCCACGAGCCACAGGGTGGTGTTGCTGCAAGCCTCTCCTGAAACGCTCCGAAGCTTCACATGTCGCTCCATGGCAACAAGCCTGCCTTTGAGGGACCTTGAGCTCGGTAATAACTCAACATCGTTTGTTTTGGCTGGAAACTTTTTTTAAAAAATCTAGCTCTTGTCCGACATTTCTTATGCTTCTTTCTCACCGCCCATTCCTGCACATCTAGTAAAGCTTTCTAAGCTATGCACGCAGAAACTTGCAGCGGCACAATCACGATGCCTCCGTTCCAACTAAGCTGAGATGCTGCCACGGCCTTTGAATAGCTTGGGCATACCTCCTCTTACTTGGCAGCTCAGCTATCTTCTGCAACATCCAACCCACTATAACTCGCAGCTCCTGGGACGATTGTTCATGATTTTGTTGAAGATACTTCAAGGTGCTGTCGATAAAGACTTATCCAGGCGGCTTCAGGTACCTGCGACAGGAAGGCTGCGCCTGAACTAGCAGTACGAATGTCACAAGAAAGGAAAGGAGTACTCTGTCAACGAAAACGACCACATCTATAGCCTCCTGCAGGCTTGCAGCTCCTGTGGAAAGATCAAGGAAACACGCGACAAGCTGGAGACCAAGTGTCGTGGCAAGCAGGTGATCACATTCTGGAAAACGGCATCATCTGCATCCAAGCCGACTACAGCCACATCGCGCAGAGTTTCGGAGTTCAGACTCAGAAGCCGCATGCCCAGGTGCTCCACATGAGCGCTGTTACTTGGAAACTCGGGCCGGTACATGCGCAAGGAAGAGAGATTCGGAAATAGGGGGATGAAGACGTGGTGTGGATCAACGTCCTCAAGACTTAGCTCCAGCGTCTCCACCGAGCTTGCACTTGATTCGAAGAATTCGCGGTTCTTTATCAAAGCCCCTAAAAGTCGGGGCAGCTTGCCGTGTAGGTCCAAATGTACCAGTGCGACTTGTCTGGGGTCATCCTGCCTTGTTTCCAAAAACTGCACCAGGATGTCCATGATTTCCGCCGGCATGTTGCCATCCCAGTCGGTAACAACCAAGGTGACTTCCTCGAAGAGACCGGTTGGCCGACCGGCTACGCCTAGATCTTCAGCCAAATGTTGCACATATGATTTCAGGAGATCTTTGCTTGAAATCTGGTTCAACAGCTTCGCGTCTGCCGAGACCGTGCGCTTCTGCTTCTTCCGAATGGTTGCTTGCAGCCTTCAGCCCAATAACTTCCCCTGTTCTACGCAGTATATGTTAAAAGAATAACAGTAACCGTGGAACCACCACTCGCAATTCCCGCTAGGTGCCGTGTTGTGGTACTGCACTGGATATCTGCAAGGCGTCTAGGTGACAGCAGGCGGCCGCAGTCTGTCCACAGATCAATCCGCCACCTTTTCACGTGGGGGGGGGGGACGGGACTTTCATTGTCAACTGCAGTTGCTGTACGCCAATTCTGTCTCTATTCATGCACTGGTTGCTGCCCAAGGGCGCAGGCACATTGGTAGCTTTGCTCAGGTACAACTTCAACTGCGAGGCATCAGGCACCGTCGCTCCTTCGCCACCGATCCTTAATAACACGTATAAAGACGAGCGTGCTCTTCTCGGGAACGACGGAGACGGTGCTGTGACAAAATCACTATGACGGCATGCTCCGAGACCAGAGCCACGCCGCACCCACTATCTGTTTACACATTAATTTTCCTGTCAAGCTGCGTCACTACTTTCGGCACTGACGGGTGGCACAGCACAGCGGGCAGCACTACTTGTATTTCCATGGGCCAGCGCGCATCAGCAAGTGATCCTGTAAGGCCTTTGACCGAAAACCCCTCTGCCCCGCAACCACCAACATCTGCGAGTTAACATCCTTTCCCGCTTCAGACCCTCAGCCTGCGAGCATCTTCTCTGTGATTTTTCTGCTACCCTTGAACGACAGTGGCACAAGGCGGACACATCTTGCACAAGGCATGGGCTCACCAACGCAAACGACTCGAGCACGCCGGTCATCTCCAGGGCCCTGGCACCGACGATCTCAAAGTACGGGTCCGTATCCACGGTTGTTACCGCCTGAAAGCAATGCTTGCCTTCTAAGCATCTGCAAAACAGTAGCTAGACCGCGCAACAGCTTTGCTTTGCCGAAAGCCTGGGCAGAAAGGTGACAATCTCCAGGCGATTAAAAAAATGTCGCATCGTCTCTTGACGATGTTTAAGGAATAACGGCACCCACACGTGATGGCCACCGTAGGCACATTGCCTTCAAGACTCGATGCTACTGGAACCGCCTTGTTGCGTCGAACCAGCACATCCTTTCTTTCCTGAACGCTCAACAACTTACACAGTCTCAGACTGAGATGCTTGGAAGGCCTTGGATATCGCACCATGTCACCTACAGCCATGTCCCATGCAAAACACTGAGACAACTTGTTCGACCAGTTGTCCCTTCGCAGAAGCCGGTGCGTTTTCCAAGGCCAGGGTAGCCTGTACCGGGAATGGAGCAGCAGTCGGTCAAAATGATGGTACATCGAAGCCTCTCGAGATCAAGTGCTTCGTGGGAGGTAAGTCATTCGTTGATGCCACAAGAGTACAGAAACGTAAGTTGCCGGTGGTTGGGAAACCTCCCGGGCTGTCAGAAGCGTGCAAAAGCTGACTGAAGCGTGTAAAAACTGATTAGAGCTGGGCAGGCCTGCAAGGCCTGCCCAGCCGTGCCGGAGAATTTCATATTCGGATGTGTGCTGATGCTGGACGTTCAAACGCAGCCAGTGTTGAAAAGTTCTCCCAGATCTCGCAACGTCACGTTACGATATGCTCTCAGGCCAGCGCGCAGGGTGCATTGTGCTGCAACTGTCGCTCCGTCGGCTACGGACTTTGAGTTGCGTACGTTCATACCGGTACTCTCTCGACCAGCATGCAAGTCAAGGTGCTCTCCGACCGAAGATGGTAAGCTGTCGTTCCCGAGACGATGTACTGAAGCGAACCCTGGTTAGGTATCGGAGCATCGTAACGAGACGGCGCACACTGAGTGGCTCACGTATCTTAATTTGACATGGAGACACAAGGAGTCATGCATCAAATGCGCCCGGGAGAGTTCGCACCTCGCTGCCTCGTAGCTCATTGGATGCAACTGACACTTCCTATCATGAAGAAACAGGCCGGCAAGAGAATTACAAACTCCTCGGGGCTTCGTTCGCATGGTGCATTCCTCCGCGCTTGGAGACTCGCCACACATCATGAGTCTGGCGACTCTGAGACGGACAGTCTGTTTCCAAGCCGGCGCGGTGGTGACCAACAGAATCAGGTTGCTACAATCCACGCCCATGCACCAACGGCGATGTGGCTCGCAGCGTAAAAACAATACAAACACAAGACGATCAGTTGAACGACTCGATGCTGCAGGCGATAGCCTTTCGTGCGTCACAGCCTGCTGTTTCTCTGCATCTTCTCTCCGGCTCACCAAATCATCACAACAGAATTCGGGATAGCACGCTGACGGCGCCGGAGACAAGGGATCCCAACCTTGGTGGCCAAATGCGCAAACAGTTCTCTTGCGAGCAGTGAGGGCAGTGAGGCTGCCAGCGAACCCAACCGCAGTAGCATTGTCAATGCTTGTTCTCAGTGCCTGTCGGAGTCTACCTGAGTCTATGTGCTCCCTGTTTCCTGCATTGTGGCTTAGTCACACAATGAACTGCTTCAGGAAGATTTCCTGGGTTAGCTTCACGTCGTGGATGAAGAAGCCGGCAGAGCTGTCCTCTCAGCATTGTGCAGCGTGCCACAGCCAGACTAGCATCAAGCTCTGTGCCCGGAAAAGGTCTGCAACTGCAAACGAGTCGCTGTGATGTACCTCACCAAGTACTGACGGTCGAAATCGTTCGGCAAGTCGGATTGGAGTTGATTGACGAAAGCTGGTATGGCACGACATTTCCTTGCAAGCAGGTTGTCTCGCCGACAGCTCCGCTCGCTGTGCTGACAAAGGGATCTATATGATAGAAATATAAGGGGCATTGAGGCATCGGATCTGCCAAGAGACTCTGTCAAAGCAGCCCCATGAGCACACACACGCATGTTCAGGATGAAGAGAAACGGCAACGGCACAGACGCGAGGATTTCAGCCAGTAGTGCCACAGGTTCGAAGTCGGTGCGAAATGCAAAGCTTACTGATCCACCAAGAAAGAAGGCGAAGCCAAGTGCTCCCACGGCTTGCAAAGCCACAAAGCTGCCGGCAAGCTCTCGCCCAACGCACTTGAGTAGTGCTTGCATTGCATTCCAGCTGCTCACACCCTCGATGAAGTCTGGGCAATCGACTATCTCCCCGCACCAACAGTCCAAGACTTTGTCTAGCCCTAGGAGGAGATGAGACTGCACGTAAGTGATCACCATGAAGACGGCACTGGACACCGCAAAGCAAATCAAGAGCAAGATCTGCACAACATACACCGACCAGATCCAGGCCTAGGCTGGACAGAATGGCAAGAACCATGATTCACTATGCAATTATGAGCACCCTCACTTGGAGACGTCTCTTTCTAAGGAGGAATCATCGCAGAATCGTAAGTGCCTTCTCAAGCCAGCGGGCCGGCTCCTCAGCATAAAGTTGCGTGGCCCTCTTCTGGCCCATCCAGATTTCCAAGCTGTAGTGAACCACACCGCACAGCACTAGGCAAAGCCAGGCCACAACGTACCTGCACTTGCCGTCACTGTAGATTTCGGGTGAGAATGCTTTCGTTGAGTTTACGGCTGCACAAGATGCTGCACAGGTCAACGCTTGCTTCTTTGTAAGACGCAACTAGGGTTCGCATGGCTGTGGTCGAGCGAGATGCGAAGTATTTCTACGCTTGTCTTCCTAAAGTCGTTCTCAAGTGCCAGTAGGGCATGAGATAAGTGCTCCATCTCATGACCGGAACACTTGACATGTCAAGTGGATTGGACATGAGAACGTTCGGAACATTCGCTTTAATCGTCAATGCTCAAGCACTTATGCGAACAATTTAGACTTTATTGAGAACCACAAAGACCTTCGGTAGGGGTCTAGAAGAGCTTGAATGGTAAATCAGATGCAGAATCCACATTTGAGTTCGAAGGCTCTGGCTTTCTGCTGAATTGGACCGTGAACCCTCTGTGCGAATCGACAGAGTGTGCAATTGAGCCACTTGCGCCATTCCTGGCCACTCACCTCGCTCCAGTGCAGCTTGAAGTCGGCCACGAACATGTGTAACCGATCCACTGCCAGGTTCCTGGAATGTGAAAGACTTCTTCAGAAAGGGCATGGCTCTGTCGTTGTTGACATGTGTGGTCTATAAGACTGCTCGCACAGGCAGCTTCGGTCGAACTCTGCTGTCGAGGTTCAAGTCTTCTGATAGCAGGGCTCTCCGCAATCGGGCGACGCAAAACGTTGACACCAAACCATATAACAGGCCTGGGCGAGAAGAACATGCCTGTATACCTCCGCAACTTCGCTGCAAGGCTTTAAATTGATTCGTGTGGCTAGACGCCAGTCTGAAGCTCAAAGCCTGTGAGGTGTTGAGCTCCTCTTTGAAGGTCTTCCTGAGGCAGCGCTCAAGGTTGCACTTCAAAGGGTATTGGAACGCGACGTTTGTGGAGGCCGACATCTGCTGTTGTCACATCTTATCAAAGGGGCGTGTGCTTTGCAGGTACTCATGTTTTCACCTGAGTGCCGAGCAAGAATATCAAGATTGCAGACAGCACGAAGACGGGTATACCTCAAATGCAAGGAACTCGTGATTATTCGTGAAGAACTGCATGAAAAGTAAGCTTCCAAGCCAGTTCCCTAGAACTACACTGCATGCCGAAGGCTTTCCTCGGGCCATCATCCACACGTGGTATACAATAGTAAAGAATAAGATAAGTGTGGAAGGATTGAAATTTTCGCAGTCGGATGCTACAGTGGTACAAGGCTTGCATCATTCAACTAACAAACATGACGGAAAAGACTGTTCGACAAGCTCTGAGCTTTCGACTCCCGCAACTTGCACACGGCAGGCACAAAGCTTTAGGTTTGGGGCTTTTTGCCACTCGCAGCTCGGGAGGATAGATGTAAGATGTGATTGCCCGGCCTATCAACACCACAGCCACAGCGGTAGCGGACAAAATTCTTCTACAAAGCTCGCATACGACCGCCCGACCGACCAAGGGACAGCCGTTCAAACAGGTTTCGATATGTGCTCACATAGCCAAACAAGGCGCAGAACTTTCTGCAAGAAGTCCATAAGAGGTGGCAAAAACAATTTCTGCAAGTCCGGTGTCCGCAAACAAAAACCGAAAAACGGAAACTGTGATGACGAAGGCCCGAAAGACAGACTGCGTGTTTTACAAACTTTGCGGTCAACTGTTGACAGCGGAACACGCGATGTCTCCAGCGCACCGTTCGGCCACTGATTGCAGTCACAGAGGCCCACCCGTGCCAAAAAATGAAGCCGTTGGACCATGTGTTTGCCGGCTTCTTCCACAAACATTTTCCTGCACAATCAAACACAACCGTCCCACCGGAGTTTGACCACACTTACTTCTGTAATATGCTCACACGGAACCACTGACTATGCCGTCTTTCTTCACTTCACGGTCTGGGTGCTTCTACAACACATGTCCCTCACCCAGTTGCAACAGCATCTCTTCACGATGCACACGTCTGCGTGACTAGACACCAGTTGCGAAAACCATAATCGAAACTGTGAGCATATCACTCCGTGAACGCTCGGCGCCGGACTCGGCGCTGCGGGCCAACGTTCGCAGCGCGACTGGGGAAGGGGCGCCGAGCGTTGGCGTGACGGCGCCATGGACAGGGACGGGGCTGGGGAGGCTGTGGGCCGCATCCGCGAACGCTCGGCCCCCAGCCCCAGCCCCGTCCTGGCATCGCCCCGTGAATGCTCGGCGCCCAGCCCCGTCCACGCCGTTTACGGCAGCATCGCCTTGAAGCCAGCTTTGTCCCTGTCCACGGGAGCTCGGCGCTGCCACAGCGTTCCCCAACCTTCAACAGCCCCGTCCCCGTCCACAGCATCGTCGTTAAACGCTCGACGCCCACAGCCTTCCGCAACCCGTCCCTGTCCACGGCGTAGTCGCACTATCGCCGCCCCGCGGGAAGGGAAAACTAAAGAAGAACCCAGCTCACCAGGATTTTTTGGGAACAAGGGGGTGGGGCTTTGCTGGGGGAAGGAGGGTCGGAGCCCCCCCTCTCCCACAATCAACAAATTTCAATACGTTACCTGCCCAGCTCTGCAAGAACCACTGAATTTATCAATCTTTTTGAGCTGGCGCCACCCGCTGAGCAATCTGCTTGAACATATCGAATTTTCATTAGGGATAATGATTACTGCAATCGTTCTGATCCCAGGTGCCGGCCGCCCAGAAGAGGCAACCTGGTATTGCTAGGAGAAGCCTGGAACCCAGGTCCAGCTCGACGGGGTCTGGCTCCTCTCAGCATTCGGACGGTCTATGACACACCATGATGACGAACATGATTGTCATTCCTACTGTATCACTGCGCGGTGCTGTCTGAAAACCTTTGTCCGTCAAGCACTGATTTGTTCGCCAGTTGGTCCTGGTAGCTGAGGTGCGTGGCGGTATGCGAATCTAGGATACAAGCTTGTGACTCCTGGTTCATGACGACAAGGGTTGAGCCAGCATGTTGTCGAGATCGAGGGCGCTTCTGTGCAGACTGCGGCAAAACTGCTTTCGGCAGTATATCCGCATCGTCAACATCCGAGTTGACAAGTCCAGGTACCGGGGATTCTGGTGGTTCTGGCAGTGCCAACTCGTCGTTCTTTTCTGGCGCTATCGGCAGAAACTTGACAGCCGGTTCCGCAGGAGCTACGTGACTTCTGCGGCGCTCAGATCGGATTTCGCAAACCTCCTGCAGAAAAGCACTCTCCAACTCCACCAGGCTCTGTATTGAGGCGACAGGTCGACGTGGCTTTGCTCGAACCGCCGCGGGTGAGCTTGGGTCCTTTGGTGAGGTTGGTCTGTGTTGCGATGGCCTCCGTGTCTCGGCCAAGGCCTCAACGGAATCAGCAATTCTTTCCAAGTGAGCGAGAATTGTGCGTGTAGCCTCGTCTTGACCAAGGTGTTCTGCAAGTTTGGCATCCAAAAGCCTTTCAAGCCTGCTCTCCAAAATGTCTCCTGTCGTGCTCATACCGCCTGTAAAACTCGCCGTCCCGCCGAAACTACTCGCTGCGAAACTGGCTGTCACTGTCGATTCCTCGTGCATGCCGCCACCTTCTTCTCACATCAGGCATGAGGCCATGTAGCTCGAGCCATCTGGCAACAATGTTCCACACAACCCATCAAACATAAGGCCGGTTAGGGCGCTGCTCGGAATATCGGTGCAGCTAGATACGACGAAAACAATAGCAAAACAAGACTGTTCTGGATCCTGGCGCTGGCACCTTTGCAGTCTCTTTGCCTGTCTCTATCTACAGTATCACTGACTGCTGCACAGCAGGTATGGAACCTCCTGACGATGCATGACCCTGGCAGGTGCCTTGCGCACCAGTGCCATGTGCGTGCCACCCTTCTTGAAGGCATTCAAACATGCCACCAACTTCGTCTCCTTCGAGCTGGCAGGGTATGAACCCCCAAAGGGGACCCGGCCCCTGAAGAGCCAAGAGCAGATGCCACTCCAGCACTCTTTGAACAAATGCCTTGCGAACTAACCTTGGTGCATGCTCCACTTCTGCGTGCTTATGCTGACTCGCACTTGTGCCTATGGTTTGCCAGCCCTGTCCTCGAAGACGGTCTCTACCTCCATGGAGCTGAATAAGCATCGCTCAACAAGCGAATCCAATTAGCTGGAGCTTGGCTGAGAGCTGCAGTATGTTGCAATGAGCACTTCCCCTTGCCCGGCCACGCCTTCCTCCCGAAGATCTGAATGAAGTCACCCACCTGATTCAAGACCCGTCTGGAACGAATCGGGCATCAGCACACTGCACACACAGCTGTCTGAATACCTTCATCTCATCTTCAGGATCGGCGAGCATCAAGTCCTGAAGGACAATGCTGCGCTGCTTTACCACCGCTGGCAGCACGTTGAGGCATCCTTCGTGTAAAGGAGGCCCCGATACTCATGCTTGTCTCTGCCGTAGATTGGAATTCGACCTGAGAAGTTCGCAGGGATCTGCAAAACACCCTGGACCTGGCACCCCACCCCATGCTGCCAAAAAGGAATTCCTGTCCACGCTTGAATCAATGTGGGACGCATTGAGCTGAGAAGCTATATCCGGTCTCAAAGATCTCCCGGATGGCGTCGTATCCAAGCTTCGTGTCGCTGTTGAGGAAATAAGCCTCACTTCCGAAGTGCTGAATCGGAGCTTTTTCCTCGCGTGTTGTTTGAAACCCCGGGACATGAAATCCTCGCATGTTACATGGGCACCCGAACAGCAAACCCTCGCAGGTTGTATGGCTCCCGGAACACTTTCTGCCCTCATGTCTCTGTCTCTGTTTGACCCCTGAACGATGCCTGCGTGCTTCCACACAAGTCATTCGGACTGATATGTGATTTTGCTTCACTCGAACTCCGGATGCTCAGAAAGTTTCCCGATCTCCGATTGCATGGTTCAGCTTGTCATCGTGAGCGGGAGAAGTTGCAAGCACTGAGTTGTGGACGTCCTCAAGAGGTGTCATAATGTCGCCAACCTGCCGCGGAGGATTAGCTAGAGTCGGATGTCGGCTCAAGTTGGGCAAACTGCATGGCTTTGTACAAGGAGTTTGCACACAAGTCTGAGACGGATGCTCAAATCGGGCAAACGCAGCATACATACCGCTTGTGTTGTGGCTGGTCTGGCAGTTTGGCCCCGGCCCGAGTGCGGGCCTGACATAGAAGAGATCTTCATACAGAGATGGAGTGTGTCTTCAAGCCTTCTGCAGTCCTCCCTGCAACCCTGCGACATGTTGATTGCTTCGCAGCTAAACCATCAAGGAGACCGGTTGAAAGCTCGAAGCACCCAAATTCCGGAGAAAGCCAATGATGGCACGTGATCCCGCCACCTGTTTGTCACGAAAGCTGAGAGCACCTTCAGCGACCTTGCAAGACAACGCAATGAGTCTAGCCCTCGCGATGCTTATGTCTTGTCTCGCATTGCTTAGAGCTGTACTCGTGCATGACAAGCCGAGCACTGATTGCAATCACAAGTTGCGCAACAGGCAGCAAGTGATCTGCATGCCCGCAGCAGGCCAAACGACGCTGTGCCAACACGGAAGCACGGCTGAAGCACCAGCAGCGACATCGCAGCAAAAGCAATCTGCATGCATCTACAGTCGCTGGAACAGAAAGTTGCTGTCAGGCCTGCTGTGCAATCTTGCCCTCCTCAGCGTCCACGGCACCGAGGGAAATCTGCAGCTTCAGCATCTCCATAAGCTCCTCGGACACAACAAAGATCCTCTGCAGTGCCAGGATGGCCGTGCCGTTGTCAGCGAATATGGCAGAACGTCGGAAGCAAAACCAGGGTGCTATCAAGTCATTGCTGTATGCTGGTGCTTGCGCCACTGGCGTCAGGCTTCCTACAACCCTCAGGAATATGGAACACCCGCTATCTATCTTGGAGTTCCGTCAAGAAACAAGTCGTGTGTGGATCACCGCTAGATATAACAGCTGTCGGCAAAGTAACGGATGCTTGTCGCAAAAACATGGGCTCTTGAGGAAGCTTTGCAGCTGTGTCACCGTCCGGCTGTGGATAGTGCCAACCTGCAAACGTCTTGGCATGAAGAGTTGTCATCTTCTTGATCTGTTGTGGTGCCATGCTCTTGCGAGGGATGGCTTGCATTGAAACCCATGTGAGCCTCTTGGCCCAGCAGCCAATCTAGAGCTATACTCATCGGCTTGGTGATGACGAAGAAAAGGATCCTGGCGAAGCAATTTGCCACACATGCAGCGTAACCCTTGGATGTCTTCAGTTGGCATTGGCCCCACAGTCGTCTGTGCCACTGGGCTCGGGAACTGCCGGATCAAGCGGCAGTTTTTCTTGCGCTGCACCCATGCACGGTGTGCTGCAACCCAAATGACAGGCCGGGGTGGCATCAGAAACCGTACAATGGGAACTGTCCTTGCTCCGACCTGGCATTGTAGCATGAGGCAGCATGTCTGCACACAGAAAGGTTCTCAGTGTTCGATCACTTTTTCAGAGCTGGGAAGATTGTGCGACTGAACCTCTACGGTCAAATTAGTTGATGGACCACGCTTTCCCTTCCTCAAGCACTGCCGTGTTACCGCTCTCTAGGATCCTCGGCCCAAGAAACGCTCGCGCCTGGAGCGCGTACCTGGAGCAAGCCGCCTGGAGCTCACGCCGATTTTGAAGGGAGCTCTGAAACCGGAAGCTGTCTGCCAAGAAGGAGATAAGAGCGCCATGTGTTGGTCATGTTGTGTATGAGTATTGAGACTTCCAGGATTTACGATCATGGATGCTCTGGGCCTGAAGGCCTGGGGCATCCCGTGATGCCAATGCTCAGCCGAAGTAGCCGGAATGATCAGGACTCAGGCCGACATCCCTAGGGCCTGGGGCAGAATCTCGCCGAAGGTGACGATCAAAGCAGTGGAGACCTGTTCTCTTGTTGCTTTCAGAGGACTTCTTTGGCCAGAGGGCTGCTGCCGCGCAAAGCTTTAAATTGAATCCTAGAAATCCACAGCTCGTCTGGTAACATGCCAGTTGAAGTCAGTGCCAAGCCGCAAAAAAACCGACGAGGCCACTGGCAATGTCTGCTGTCAAGATGGACAAAGCCTCCCAAGCTGTCAAGGTGCTCGAGCTGCTACCGCGTCCTAGCCCTTGCAGCCATTTCCCGTCAATGGTTGGGGTGCTCACAGCTGGAGATGATACGATGCTGTGATCCATAACCATGCCAAAAGCGCTGAATTGACAGCCACATTGCCCAAGAGGAGCGTGCACCTCGACATCTGGATTTATTCAGTGTTCCATTGCTATTCCTCTCTCTTGCTTGGTTCTGCAGGTATAGTCGGTCGAGCTTCATTCCTGTTCACGGCGCTGACAGAGGGCGTGGACGTGGAGAGTGGAACAACGGTTGACGAGAATCAGCAACTTCCCACGATCAATTCACTCCTAGTTACTAGTTCAGAAACTGCGGTGAAAAAGCAACAACTCCTCGTCACATGGAACAATGACAATCAAGACCTCAAGCAGCAGTCTATTTCCGAAGGCATAAGGGACAGGGCCAAGCCCAACTCCTCAATCTCTAAACCGTTCTCTCACTTCACTTCATTTCACTTCACTTCACTTCACTTCACTTCACTTCACTTCACTTCACTTCACTTCACTTCACTTCACGTCACGTCACTTCACTTCACTTCACTTCACTTCACTTCACTTCACTTCACCTCACCTCACCTCACCTCACTTCACTTCAC